TGATATATATCTAAGTGTTTTTACATTGTTCATGTCTTGGCAATTCAGTATTTTAAACAGGTTTTTTAACCTGCATGTCAGTATAACAATTGATATCTTAAAACTAAACACTAAAACTAAATCTTATCTAAGTATAAAGGGAATTAATCGTTGCAATTGAGGATTGCAACGATTTTTGCCTGAAATTATTAATTATTTTGTTGGACATTTGTGCTAAAGTCTCAACATTCGAAATTCTATGTACTTCGGTAGTACTGTACCAGGGAGGCAACTTCTAACATGTAGTTATTTTCGGGACGTGTTCGACGTGTACATCCCGAAAATATTTGTCTGACACCATTTTGGAATCCAATATAGCGGCACTCAGATTCAGAAAAACTATCAAATATGGTTGTTTTCGGAACAAGTACGACGCGTACATCCAGAAAATCGAGGTCTGACGCCATTTTTGAATCCAAGATGGCGGTCATTGACTTCAGAAAAACTTTCAAATACCCTATAATATGATACGATCTTGTTTTCCGTGCTGAGCAGTTAGAGAGGCAGCTCCCACACCTGAACCCTACCTATCGACCCAACAACCCTATAATATGGGTATTTTTAGAACGGGGCTGACGTGTAGATGCCGAAAATCAATGTCTGACGCAATTTTTTGTTTATCCAAGATGCCTGCCATTGAATTTAGAAAAAACTGTCAAATACCCTATAATATGGTTATTTTCATGTCGAAAATCGAATCCAACATGGTGGCTCTCGGTTAAAAAAAAACTATCATATACCCTACAATATGGGTATTATCAGAACCGGAACGACGTGTATATGCCGAAAAACTATGTCCGAAGCCATTTTGTAATCCAAGGTGGCAGCCATTGTTTCAAGAAAAACTGTAAAATACTCTACAATATGGATATTTTCTAAACAAGGACAACGTGTAGATGCCGAAAATTTGAATGCCGGAATGGAGTCAGCCATCAATTTTACGTCTATTGTAGGGTATTTGACAGTTTTATAAAAATAGAGGACTGCCATCTTAGATTCCAAAATTGCGTCGGGCATCGATTTTGAGCCACTACATATCGTCCCCATTCCGAACTTACCCATATTGTGAGGGTATTTAACAGTACTATCCAGTTTATCTGTAACCAGAAGCTGCCATCTTGGAATTCAATATGGCATCGGACAGTAAATGCTAGTCCGTAGCTATCACCGCGAATCCGAAAATACCTATATTGATGAGTATTTGACAGTATTTCCAACTTTTCCTGTATCCTGTAGCTGCCATCTTGGATTTCAAGACATTTGTTTTCTATTTCTAGACGTCATTCCGATTTCCATATCCGGTCTCTAGACGTTATTCCATTCTCAAAAATGCTCATATTGAAGTGTTTTTGACAGTATTTCTCTCTTTTTCTGGAACTGAAAACGACATCGATTTACGGTCTCCAGACGTTACCTTGATTCCGAAAATATAAATATTGAAAGGAATTTAACAGCATTTCGACGTCATTCCGATTCATATACATATTGAAGGATGGGAACGTCGCGTGTCGTTGGCCTTTTTTGCCCCGTAACGGGGATAGATCACCTTTTTGTGGTACGTTACGGGATGTAAGATTTACTACCGATTCCTGGTACTAACAACTTCAAACTAGTGGAACAGGATTTTTCAGTAATCCAAGGAACACATCTTAGTCCTTGTTACTTTTTATGCCTTGTTGAATGTGACAAGACTCGGCTTTGTCTACCGAGTATGATCTTGAAACAAGGAAAAATTAGTTAGTTAGTCTTCGCCTATGTGATTCCTAATCTTCTATTCGTGGTTCCCTAGTTTGAAGTGGTTAAGACTAGGGGTCTGATGCATGCCCGAGCAGGAACGAATATCTCGATAACTTAAATTGGTATGGATGAGCTTGACATAAGAGGTAAAATACCAAAAAAATGTGCCCACAATACCATTCCAATACCAAATTATAATAATGTAATACCAAAAGAATACAACCCAGGTATTCTTTTAGTATCAAATATTAATAAAGTATTTTTCTTGCAATTTTTTGGTATTATTCTTTGGTATTTTACCTCTTATGTCATGCTGGTCAATACTAAATTTTGGTATCAGATCAGAATTGGGTATTCATTAGTTTTTTCTCCTGCTCGGGTGGTCATTATTGCTGTCATTCCTTAATTTTTTTGCTAAGGAATCAAATTTTGACTGACAAAAGGGCGCGCCTTTGGAAGGTGTTTCAACACTCCGAAGGGTATAAACAGCGGTACCTTTCGATTAGAGTCGGATCCTTGCGATAAATGCAAGAATGACAACTGTAAAAAACCCAAATACTTCATCATTTCTCAATAGAGGTGGAGTAATACAACATGCACTAAACTAAGGAATCAATATTGAACATTTTAGGATTTATTTATTTATTTATTCATCTGACTTTTTGTCGTCTTAATGAATGTGATGGGGAAAAGCCAATTTAAATGGCGTAAAAACCCCATATCTTTTCACAATACAGTACAAAAATTACAAAATAAGCACATCCGTGAACATAATATAAAGTGAACATGACTTCAAATATCAATTGTAGTCAAAAACTTAAAAAAAAATATAATTCTATCAGCTCCATTGGACATCCATCATCCGAAGCAATCCTCGTCGGCAGTGGTGAAACCAGAAAAAAAGGATACAGGTAGCATAATCGTTACAATTTAGGAGCAATGGAATATTACTCACCTTTCACAATAACGAATCGCACTCGATCCATTAATGCAATTCAGTCAGTCTACGCTTAAATGTTGCCACAGTAGAGTTGAAGTCGAAGAGGATGTAGACTTCGTTGAACCTAGTCGACATAAAGCGGACAGGATCATGAAGGCCGTACAAGGAGTTGCGGGGCTCAAGCAGTAAAAAGTTCCGGTGGCGAAGTAATCGTTCAGGAACGTAAAGGTTAAGTTGACCTAGTAACTCCGGTGCGTCAGTTTCTCCTGTGAGAAGTTTAGCTACAAACACCGCTTGGGCATCATTCCGTCTCTGCTCAAGCGTCTGCAGTCCCAATAATCTGCATCGATCTCCATATTGTGGTAGGTTTAACGGATTTCGCCACGGAAGGCGTCGTAGGGCATATCATATGTTCTCTAAGATCATCTTCAAGGAAGTGCTGTGACCGTCGGATCCTCAATGCACTCCTTTCGGCTTCTACTTGAATAAATTGATGCAACGGAAGCAGATAAAGTAGAGCATCTGGTGCCATACTTGGTGTGCTGCTTATTGCACCAGTTATTGAGAGAGTAGCTAGTCTTTGCAGCCTCCTCAGCTGACTAGACACTGAAGAAGTTTTCAAGTAGTAAACGAAATACGCATCTGTTATAGTTTAAAGTGATAGTGAAAGTTAATAGTGAATGCAAATTAGTACAAGAGAAAGTGAAATTCCCGTTTGAATTCAGGAGGAATTCACCTCATACTTGCACATACTATCAACTTTTATCAAAAGTACCTTAAAATTCAGGAATTCTAAGGCAACTCAGAATTCCATCGTAAATCAGAATGCTAAGGTAACTCAGAATGCCAAGGTACTTACAAATATGCTAGGAATTACCAAATAATCTTATGAAATATCCTCAAACATCACACGCAACTACTTCAAATTGCCAGAATCCTGAAAAATTGGTTCGATTTAAAAGCCTTGCTAAATTTTCCAAGGCTTAGTTTATTATTTTCAGCCCTGAACAATTTTTCGAAATTTTTGAAAATTTCTTCAAGTTGAAAACGTTACTTTTCATCCAAATCCAGGATCCCGAAAAATAAATTATGGCTACGTTCTTAACAATAACTTCACACTACGAATAAGTCATGTAATTTTCTGTACCCTGAGACCGACACTTGCAAGCGGCCCTAATGACATAACGCACTTTTCATCGTTTTGCGTATGCTTTGGATAAGATTAAACTGCGAGTAATCGGTCCCATACATACTAGAAGTAGATTTAAGTAGAATTTGTAATGTTACACACATGAATTATCGGTTCCGTAAAGCTAACGCAATTTTGCCATTCAAATAAAATTACAAGTTTTAAAAGAAGACGCACACATACAGACATTTTTTTATATCGTCTTTCGTCTCCGAACATCGGATCAAACGTTGGTTTTCCATGCGGTATGTAAGTCCAACTTTGTAAAAGGGATGAAACTGCTGAAGCAGTGATCTTCACCGTACATAATACTATATTAATAATATATTATTAGTCACTCTATGTAACATAAATCATCAAGCTGCTACCCTTTTATGCAAATCTGATTTATGCAGACCACCCTGAAAAAGTGCAGCATAACTTAACTTTACTGCATTCTTTCCCAGGAAATCGACTCCAGTAACCACGCCCCGAACCCATTAGCTACCATCAGAAAATTTCGAAACGTACCTAGGCAAGGCAGTTTCGGTCACAAAAAAAAACGGTTCAAGTCAGTTCGCCGCAGAAATTCCGAAAACCAACCAGCATTTCTGATCGCATTTTTGCACAACTCTCTCTCTCTCTCTCTCTCTCGCCAATCTTATCACCGCTTCTCTCAAAACTTGCGAAAAATTGAGCTTCGTAAACCTACACAAGCCGTTCAACTCTATCGCACATGAATTCAACCAGTTCAAACATCATGATTGGCTTTGTCCCCGAATTGGAACTTTCACCCATCGACCAAAGCAGGAAGAAGCGTTCACCTTTTTCCCCGTTTGCTTTGGTTCGATTACTAAGAAAAACAGTTAAACAAATGAATCACTTCCTAGCCCGGGAAGAAGACACCCCATCGACCGCATCGACACAGATAACATTGAACTTGAACGATGATGGTGAGCTATTATGCGGATAATGTGATACACCGCGCGATATGACACATACACCAAACAGGGAGAGTTCAAAGAAATTTGCGAAGGTCTGTAGGCCATCCCCTCGCGCATTCAACTCGTGACTCGTACAGCAATTGTTTATTTATTCAAATGTCAATCGGTCAACTACACCAGCATGCATCTCGGGCGTTGAAGTTGATCCACGAGAGAAATCTGCTTACCCTTGCGTAAATTCCGGGGTACTTGGGCCGAGCACATCCAAAGCCGTACGATACGACACCTGCCAGAACGTATTTATCAGTGTCCGGATCTACGATATGCATGGGGCCACCACTATCACCTTGGCAGGAGTCTTTACCACCTTCGGGAACTCCCGCACAGAGGACGCCATCGTTGATTTGGAACTTGAAGTAGTCACTTTGGTTGCGACACTCTTCGCTCGACAGGATCGGTACGGTGACTTCTTGAAGTTTTTTAGGAAAACTGAAGTTGCCCAGTTTACCCCAACCGGTAATGATGCCCTACAAGTTGATAAGAAGTGAAAATGATTAGTTTAGTGGAGGAAATAAGAACCTACAGACCAGTTACTCACGTCATACCCTGCGTAGGTTTCTCCTTCCTTTGGCAAACAAACTGGGTACAATCTATCGTTGATCGGCACCGTTTCATTGAGCTTAAGAAGAGCCAAATCATTCATAATGAACACGACGGCATTCACGAACCAATTGGTCATGATGTAGGAAACTCTTCGCTCAAAGGATTCCGGTGCAGGACTACCGCGGTCGTACAGAAGGAACTTTACCGAAAACAAGCTTCGATCGGTATTGTGGACGCAATGGGCCGCCGTCAGGACGTACCGATCGTTTATGAGAGATCCTCCACAGATAAACCGGTTGTTGTAGTAGAGGGCGACCATCCAGGGGTATTTGCCTTCCTGGGCATCGGAGCCACCGACAATGCGAGAGACGTTGCTGTTGGCACCGCAAGCTGAAATAATCGAAAGTTTTAATAGGATAGATAATGTTTTAATGGATAAAAGCATATGTAACTTTATTGGAACCTTAAGAATGAAACCACACTTATTTATATAATCAATCCTATGGGACATTCTATCTCAAGTGACCGAGTACATTTGCAAAATTGCTCGTCCTCTACGATTGGAACGAAACTATGGACCAATATTGAAAAATCCAAAGTCTTAAGTCAATCGACCTACCCCTCGCCGCTGTAGACCCCCGCCTTTTTGTGCCTATTTCTAAAAAAACACCTATTTTCAATGTTATATATCTCTGCAACCATTAAATTAGGTACCGTTAAAGTAAATGTTTTGGACGTACAAATGGTATGATCAGATTTTTATCCAGTGTTGAAAACATAAAATGCAAATATCTCAAAATGTCCCCACTTTTTTTTCAAAATCTGATGACGACAAAATGTTCACCGGAGTTTTTTGCATAATTATCTTCTATCGATATAAAACAAAATTTCCATTCAGGAGGTATTGAATTTTAAAGATAACATGTTTTAATTTTTTTCTTATACTCCGAAATACTTCGATATAGAAAGTTGGTCTTTGCATGAAAGCCCTTAAAAAATCTGTAGCTTAACTAAAAATCTGAACCTTTCAACTTTCAATCAAACCGAATGCAAAAATGTCATTTGTTCTCCAGTGTTGCATACTGTGCGTTGTTTGCAGTTGATAACATTAAAATAAATTTTCTTGAAGTCATCCAATAGATTCTTATTTTAGATGTTTAGCTTGTTTGTAATCCAATACATTCGAGAGCTATTGAATGCATCCAAATAACTGATAATATCAAGAGATGTATTGGACAAATCGATACAAAAGTTATACAATGCTCTTTTTGACACATCATGACAAAGCCACGCCGTACCGCTGATGACAGACTGTATTGAAATGTTAATTTTTTTCTTTCTATAAGGCCGGAACAAATCACAAGTTTTTCTTTTGTCACTCGAGGCTCGCACCAGTCGAGAGGGGGGGGGGGATAAAAAATAAACCAAAAAAAAAATAAAACATTTGAAATTCGTTTTACATTATATCTAAACCGTATATTTCAAACGCTAACATTTTTTCTTAGCATTCGCTTTAGCCTTACACACTAAGATTTTGTTATCGTGTTCGGTAAATTTTACCGAAATCAGAACAGCTGAACGTTCGGTAAAACATTGACTTTAATTTTAAAGGCTATTGAATTTGAAAATAATTTCAAAACATCCCAACAAACAATTTTAGCTGCAAATCAGCTTATAAAGACAAAAATTAGCTGCATAAGGCAATTTTTTGCTGTATAAGCTAGTCTGCAGCTAAAATTGTTAGTTGGGATGTTCAACCTTCTTTAAATGATCAAATCTTGTCATTTTAGTGGAGATTTAGTTTCAAAGTAGCTGAAAAGCAATTGAATTGAATTGCATAAATTTTACCGGACAGTTCAGCTGTTCAGATTTCGGTAAAAATAACCGAAGTCGGCGATAATTTCTAAGTGTGAATACTTCTTTGAAGCCGTGATTGTTTACACTAATGCCACAAATGTTAATTTTATTATGTGTAACACTCGAGTTATCAACAAGACATTTCGCGCATAAGTTTTTGTATCCTTTCAATAATGTAGATGAATAGGATCAAAGCAATTGATTTTTGGGTATTGATAAATTCCGGATAAACCATCAAGCGGAATACCGCAAACATAACAGTTGTTATGAAAAAAAACGTTCTGTTTTCGATACTTCCTCCCTACCCTAATATAACTCAGTTTTCTCAACAATTGTTCGTGCTTCAAAAAATCTAATTAGACGTATGGATTCAGGAACGTCTATTCAACAAAATCCAAGCGTAATATTCAAAGGAAGGAGCCAAAATCCATCTTGGCTGAACATAAAAACCAAATTTTAAAAAAATACGTAGTTTTGTCAATATAAACCTGGCTTTGTATGTGCTTAAAAAAATAATCATCACATATGAATTCAGCAAGGTCAATTCTATGAAATCTAAGCATAACTTTCAAAGGACAGTATCAAAATCCAACTTAGCAGAAAAGGAAAACAAAAAAAAAATCTTTTCGAATTACAAACCCGCAGACTTGGTAAAAACACCGCTCGGTGCGGCTCGGTGGCAACCTACTCATGTATGCACAGCACTGGGTTTCTTCGATAAAGCACCCGGTGTCGGTGCAACATGTTGGCACGCCACCGAACCAAAAGAGAAACCCGAACGCGGTGCTACGGGCTTCGGCTCGGCACCGTGCGGCACGGAGCCAACGAACCGCTCATGATTTCGTATCGTTCGTTGTTGGTGTTGCGCTATACTCGGTCCCATTTGCGTTTTTGTCAAAACTGAGTTTTTCAATGGAAGTGGTAGCAAGTAGCTCATAGTTTCATTATACTCGATGAACTCAAGAAATTTGTTCTGAAATTTGAAAAATGGGCAAGCAGGTTTTCCCTTTACATAAGAATCCATGGTGCGAAGCAAACTTAAAACGCGTTCTTAATTGCGTCTGTCATTTCTCGACAGGAACAGGGTTCGTTCGGATACGGATGTGTTGGCCATTTTCGTTGGCACCGTCGAAAAATTTTCTCTTTCGGCAAATATAGACATTTTCTGATGGGAATTTTCGGTGGAGTGAAAGGATAGTACAAAGTCCGCCATGTTTCACGCGCAGTCTGATGTTTGCTTATGGATTTTCTCATAGGAGTAAAGAGCTACAGAGTCGCCGTCAACGCCAATTCTCGTCTACGATTATGTTTGGTACATATTGTGCCGCGCTGCGTAAACTAGAGAAAGTTTTCTAAATAACGTTATAGTGAAGCAAATTGTATTCAGCAGTGAAAAAAAGAACAACAAAATTAACTTTTAATTGATCTTTGCGGGAAAAAAAACTATGGTTTTAAGGCAATAATATTTGCCGCATTAATGCTACATGGTTAAAATCGCATTGACGGCATTGGCTCTTAACAGAGTTATAGTTCCTTAGGTGCTGTTCATAAACTACGTAGACAATGGGGAGGGGGGATTTGGCAATTGTCCACGGTCCATAGAAATTTTAAAATTTCAGGGGGTCAAGACTCCCAAAAAACTGTATACGTAGTTAATGAACAGTCCCTTTGAGATTTTTCATTTGAGCGACAGAGAACGGAACAGCCCGCCATGCTTCACGCACATAATGACAGTTGTTTGTGGGGTTTTCTCATAGGAGTAAAGAGGTACAGTATCGCCGGAAAGGTCAATCAGAAAAGGAACGAAAAAAAATTAGCAGACTGCTATAGTGGAAAAAAGAAGCACTGCATTCTGTCTGGCACCGGACCCTGGCACGGAGCCGCACGGAGCGCACCGAATAACCATAGCACGGCACCAAGCCGAATAAAACGGCTCCGCGTTCAGGTTTCTTGTTCGTATCGGTGGCGAGCCGACAAGAGGTACCGAAACCGAGTGCGTGTTAGCTTTGAACGGGGAGCAATATTCTTGCACGGCTCGCAGTGCCGGTGGGTGTTTTCCCAAGTCTGCAAACCCGGTTCAACCTTCACGTATGGATTCAGCAAGGTCCATTCAAAATAATACAATATTTTTCAAAGATATGAGCCAAAATGCAATTTGGCTGAACCGAAAAACCAAATTTCTATGAAAATACGTATGGATTCAGCAATTCGGTAAAATCCACTCCGAAATTCAACTTGGCTAAACAAGAAACCTAAATTTCTATAAAAATACGTTTTCTAAAAATTGTGCATGCTTCAAAAAATTTACCATCACGTATTGATTCAGCAAAGTTCGTTCTATAAAATTCAAGTCTATTTTCAAGGATCGGAGCCGAAATTCAACTTGGCAGAACAGAAAATCAATTAATTAATTAATTTAGCTTTATTTAGGAGGCTTTCAGCCTTAGGCAACAGAAAATCAATGTTTTTGTGAAAGTACGTACTTTCGTGAATTTAAGCTCGGTATTCTCAAAACTTGAAAAAATTCAACCCTCACGTATGGATTCAGCAACATCTTTTAAAATACAAGCTTATTTTTTAAAGATAGAAGCCAAAATTCAGTTCGGCGAAACAGAAAAATTAATTTACTATGAAAATACCTTCCTTTGTGAATATTAACCAGGTGCGTCCTTTCGGTATTCAGCAAGTTCCATTTTATTAAATCCAAGCACAAATTTCAAAAGATTGAACCGAAATCCAACCTGGCTTCAAAAAAAATCCACCATCACGCATGAACTCACAAAGGTCTATTCTATAACATCCAAGCCTGTTTTTCAAAGGACGGAGCCAAAATCCAACTTGGCTGATCAAATCCAAATGTCTATGAAAATACGTACTTTTTGTGAATGTAAACCCAGTTTTCTCAACAATTGTGCTTACTTAAAAAAATCTACCATCAGGTATGAACCCACGAAAGTCCATTCTTTAAAATCTCAGCCTATTTTTCGAAGGATGTGAATCTCCCAAGACCGAGGAAGGGATCTAAGGGAACGGAATCTACGCTGAAAGTTAGGTAAATCACTTCAGGAAAGCTCAATATAATTCAATCACTCAACAGAAAAGTTTGGACTCCCTAAGGAAGGTTTTGAACCACTTGAGAAAAGGTTGGACACCATTTGGAACATTTAGGTTAAAAAAAATTGTCGGTTCACTTCGGAAAACTTTCTACACTTTCACCTAAGCAAGAATGTGTCCTTGCCAAATGCCAAAGCAGTTAACAAAAATCTGGAGCTCACTTAGGAAAATGTCAAACCCACTCTGACAAGTTTGGTTTCAGTTCGGAAAAAGTTGAATCAATGCAGGAAACCTTGGATTCATTTAGGAAAAGGATTAATCAGCTAATGTTGCCTAACTTCAGAAAAAGCAAAACTAATTATTTAAAACTTGGATTCGGTATATGTTGAATCACTTCAGGAAAGCTTTGACAACTTAGGATTGAATAACATAACAGAAAAGTTTAGGCTCAGTTAGAAAAATATTGATGACTTATTCGA